CTCTTCTCTCCTCTTCTCTCCTCTTCTCTCCTCTCCTCTCCTCTCCTCTCCTCTTCTCTCCTCTTCTCTTCTCTTCTCTTCTCTCCTCTTCTCTTCTCTCCTCTTCTCTTCTCTTCTCTTCTCTCCTCTCCTCTTCTCTCCTCTTCTCTTCTCTTCTCTTCTCTCCTCTTCTCTTCTCTCCTCTTCTCTTCTCTCCTCTTCTCTCCTCTCCTCTTCTCTCCTCTCCTCTTCTCTCCTCTCCTCTCCTCTCCTCTCCTCTCCTCTCCTCTCCTCTTCCCCTCTCTCCTCTTCTCTTCTCCTCTTTCCTCTTCTCTCCTCTTCTCCTCTCTCCTCTCCTCTCCTCTCCTCTCCTCTTCTCTCCTCTCCTCTTCTCTCCTCTCCTCTCCTCTTCTCTTCTCTTCTCTCCTCTCCTCTCCTCTTCTCTCCTCTTCTCTTCTCTTCTCTTCTCTTCTCTTCTCTTCTCTCCTCTTCTCTTCTCCTCTCCTCTCCTCTCCTCCTCTCCTCTCCTCTCCTCTCCTCTCCTCTCCTCTCCTCTTCTCTTCTCTTCTCTTCTCTTCTCCTCTCTTCTCTTCTCTTCTCTAATGGGTATATGGCAACTATATGCTAGATTGGTTCATGTGATTGAGCAACAGACTGAATCGCAGGTTGATTGCTGTCTGGGCGTAATTGGTTGTATAGTCCCAGGAGCATCTGTGTCTTCTTCTTCTTCTTCTTCTTCTTCTTCTTCTTCTCCTCTCTCCTCCTGTTCTTACTTTGAGGGAGAATTCAACCTGATAATTTTTTTGTAGGGTGTGTCCTGACCAGGCCGCAGACGGACCTGAGCAGCCACTTGCAGCTGGGCTGACGCTCCCGCATCCCACGGGGTACAGGGTGGCACAACTTACTACAGTGAGCTACCCAGCATTGACTGGCCAGTTTCGACCTGTAAAAGAATCCTCGGCCACAACCCTGCACACCCTAGCGGATCCATCCATGAGGCGGTACACTGCATCGGGCGCGAGACTGATCGTCATCTCATCATCGCATGCCAAATCTTTGCGATAATGCCTACCATCGCCCTTCCCATCATTCAATGCCGACTCAGGGCGTACTGACACAACCACTATCTAAAATGTACCTGATGGCATTTACGGCCCGACATGTATGCATCTGGCCGCAATTCCGTCCAGAAACAAGTGAAAAAGTGCTAGTGTGAGTATATACCCTCAAGCTGAGAATATTATCTCCAGTTCAAACCCATGGCATGGGAGCTCCACAGCTGGCATTCCACAGGAAGCAAAAGGGATTTGGGAAAAAAGGAAAAAAAATCGCCAGTCCAAACCCATGGCATGGGGAGCTCTTCAGCTGGATTAACAGGCAAGAGAAGAGATCTGCCAAAAAAAAAAAAAAAAAAAAAAAAAAAAAAAGACAAAGAAGAAGAAGAAGACCAAGACGAAGAAGACGGCGATGTCGAAGAAGAAGAAGAAGAGGAAGAGGTCTGAAAAACGTTAGAAAAGAAGGAAGGAAGGGCAAATGGATAGAAGCATTAAAGGGAGGGGGAGGGGGAGGTAGAGGTGAGGGGGAGGGAGGGAGGGAAGAATGAAGAAAAAAGGAAGGGGAAAGGAGGGAAGGAAGGGAGAGAGGGAACGAAGGGAGGAAGGGAGAGAGGGAGAGAGGAAGGAAGGAAGGAAGGAAGGAAGGAAGGAAGGAAGAAGAGAGGAAGGTCAAATGCTTGAATGAATAAGTCAATGAAATGAATGAACGAAAGAAACTAATGATTGAACAAATGCATGAATGGAGACAATGATTACCTGTTCGGTTCCCCCGAACCCCCTAGAAAATAGCCCCAACGCGCCTGTTGGGTTCCTCTTCGAGTCGCGGGTACGAAATTTGAACCCCCAAGAAAATAGTCCCACCACCAAATAGTCCCACCGCCACAAGCGCAGCAGCAACCCCTGTCCCACGTCGTAAAATCGCATAAAATCGGAGGACAGAAATGCACTCTATCACTCACACATGGGTAACAGCGCAGCAACCCCTGTCCCACATTGTAAAATCGGAGGACATTCGCGAAATTTCAAATTGGTTGTTGGTAAAAAGTACTAAAAACCATTATGAAATTTGTCGACCGACGACCATCCAAAAGCCTAGACAAAATAATTGGTGTATAGCAAACCCTCTGAAATGAAATTAAGAATGTGGAGGGCATATGCGTAATATAGCAACTGCGGGTTCTCCTGGATCCTGGAATTTCCCCGCTCATTATCCTATGTGAAAAGTAAAAGTAAAAAAGAAACAACTTGGCAAGTTACACAATCGACAGAGTAACAGTAAAAAAAAAAAAAAAAAAAAAAAAAAAAAAAAAAAAAAAAAAAAAAAAAAAAAAAAAAAAAAAAAAAAAAAAAAAAAAAAAAAAAAGGACAGAGTAACAGTAAAAGCCAAAATGGCCAGCCGAACTAAAGACAAAGGGGTAAGTAAGAAATACTAAGAATGGCTTCGTATCCAGCGAGATCAGTCCCATACGCGGGCATCGCATCAGCACCAATCAAACTTAGCGCGCGCTCTTTCGCCGACACACATGCAAGGCCTGCGCTTCTCAGGTCTGCGATCAATCAATGAGCTATGCACATTGCTGAAAACAAAAGATGAGATCCTCATAATGAAAAAACAATGGCAAGAGAGAGAGAGAGAGAGAGAGAGAGAGAGAGAGAGAGAGAGAGAGAGAGAGAGAGAGAGAGAGAGAGAGAGTTCTTCTGCTGAGCCCCTTTCTTCATCCACTCCCGATCTGAATGTCAGTGCTAGTCCAGAACAGACTCACAAGGCAGACTTGCAGGACGAGAGAAAGGAGGATAAGGAGAAGATGGGAGGGAGAGAGAGGAGGAGGAGGAAAAGGAGAAGAGAGACACAGAGAGAGACAGAGAGAGAGAGAGAAGAGGATAAGACGAAGATTTTGAGAACAACACAAAGTGAAGCATGAACCGTAGAGAATCAGGTGAGAGAGAGAGAGAGAGAGAGAGAGAGAGAGAGAGAGAGAGAGAGAGAGAGAGAGAGGATAAGACGAAGATTTTGAGAACAACACAAACTGAAGGATGAACAGTAGGGCATCAGGTGATGACTTGAACACTTGAAAAATTGCAGAAGCGCAAGGATTTCCCAATGACTGTGGAGAATTCAGAAGCACTTTCTGTGAACAATTGATGGGCCGGCCTCATCGTACTCCGCCTTTGCGATCCACATTTGCTGAAATGTGCTAAGCGATGCCAGAATGGATCCGCCGATCCAGACACTATACTTGCGCTCCGGAGGGGCCACCACCTTGACCTTAACGGCAGTCGGAGCCAATGACGCTATCTCCTTTTTCATCCTGTCTGGCAGGCCAGGGAACATTGTCGATCCCCCACTCAGGACAACGTTTCCGTACAGGTCCTTCCTCACGTCCACATCGCACTTCATGATGGAGGTGTAGGTGGTTTCGTGGATGCCCGCCGATTCCATCCCAATCAGACCAGGATTGAAGAGGACTTCTGGGCATCTGAACCTTTCGCTTCCGATGGTGACGATATTACCATCGGGAAGCTCGTACGTCTTCTCGAGGGCGGGTCCGCTTGCAGCTAAGGATAGCTCGTGCTCGAAATCCATGGCGACGTATGCAAGCTTCTCCTTGATGTCACGGACCATTTCCCGCTCGCTGCTCGTGTTGAAGGAATGCCCCCTCTCCGTGAGGATATGCCTCATGTAGTCCGTCAAGTCACTGCCGGCGAGGTCGAGGCGAAGGATGGCATGAGGCAGAGCAAAGCCCTCGAAGATGGGTGCCGTGTGCGTGACACCGTCACCAGAGTCGAGGACGATACCAGTGGTACGACCACTCGAGTAAAGAGACAAAACCGCCTGGATCGCCACGTACGCAGCTGGAACGTTGAAGGTCTCGAACATGATCTGCGTCATCTTCTCGCGATTGGCTTTTGGATTAAGCGGTGCCTCCGTCAAGAGCACTGGGTGTTCTTCCGGCTGGACTCGCAGCTCGTTGTAGAAAGTATGGTGCCAAATCTTCTCCATTTGATCCCAGTCGCTCACAATGCCGTGCTTAATCGGATAGTCGATGCGAAGAATACCACGCTTCGACTGAGCTTCGTTCCCCACAAACGTGTTCTTCAGCCCCATACCAACCATCACCATTTGTTCTTTCGTATCTTTAATCTGGCCAACGATGCTCGGGAACACACCCCGAGGGGCATCATCGCCCGCAAATCCAGCCTTGACCATGCCGGAGCCATTGTCGCACACGACCGCAGAAACCTCCTCATCCGCCATGGTTGGTATGGGTGCGTCCGAAGCTCGACAGCCGATTCGTGCGTACGCACTGGAAACTAGCAGCAGCAGTCAACCACCCCTGCAAATGAAGAATCGAAGATCGAAGACACACACACACAAACAATTAGGGCCTTGCTCCACCGCTCACAACATAACATGCACAAAACTTGACAAAAGACAAAAAAACTTATAGCAGTGTACATTTCCATACATGCACAAAAGACACAAAAACTTGTAGCCGTGTACATTTCCATACATGCACAAACGACAAAACTTGAAGCGGTGAACCTTTCCATGCATGCACAAAAGACGAAACTTACAGCTGTCTGAGCTGTGCAAAAAAAAAAAAAAAAAAAAAAAAAAAAAAAGCCTTATAGCTGTGCAGTGTGTAGTACTGTGTACCCTTCCATGTTCTAGCAGAAGATTCATTCTCATTTTGCACATTTGGTTTGAGTGGTAGAGTGAGGAGCTTAATTGGCGCACAGTTATCACTGAAGCGTCGACGTATTTCACCCCTCCACGAAAACAATGCATTGCTGCTGCTGATGGCCATAAGGAGAAGTTTGTGTCAAACTTTCAAAGCAAATGGAGGGGGCAGGGGAGGAGTTGGGGGGGGGAGAGTAGTAGTTAGCCCTATCAGACTGACAACAAAGCTCTGCAACAGCTTGCACTTGCCTGAGAAGGTGAAGTCACAAAGGGCTATGATGACCATAAGGAGAAGTTTGTGCTAAACTTTCAAAGCAAAGGGAGGGGGCAGGGGAGGAGTGGGGGGGGTAGTAGCTATGCCTATCAGACTGACAACAAGGATCTGCAAAAACTTGCACTTGGCTAAGAAGGTGAAGTCACAAAGGCCACACGTGCTGCAGCACACTCTGCACCATTCTCCACTATTTCCTGTAAACAGCAGCCACTGCCGGATTGATTACTTTGTGTTCTTTTTGTCATTAAATGATTAAACCATCACTACCTCCAGAACTGATCCGCCAATGCCAGAGGGCGGAAATCCAGGGCTATTGTAACCCTCTTCCCCTCACCTACCTCCTTCACTCCTCCCCTACCCTACCCTACCCTACCCCCTCACCCCTCCCCTCCCTTACCCCCTCACCCCTCCCCTCCTACACCGACCGCTTCCCTTAGCTGCATACGAAGCTGCTTTTGGTTTACAGCTGCCAACCCTCCCGCTATGCATGCATCAGGGCATACTCATATGCGGACCTTTATGAATCAGCTTTGGACGTAATTATGGTCAGATACATCCTGTCGTTACAGATCCGCACATCTGGGCCTAAGGGCCCGCCTCCGTGCAAGCACGGATTCGAACCGGCGACCTCGGCCTCAAGAGCCAGGTCTCTTACCCACTACAGCCAGCACACGGTGTTCAAAAGCGGAACCATACCGGCCGTTATATCCACTCCAACCCTGCAAAGCTGTAGTGCCCAACTCGGCACACACACACACCACACAACACCACATGGCGCACCACACAGACGCGGCAAACTCCAAGCCTCCAATCAGCTTTGCACGGTGAACCCCACTGCCACTGGTACCTAGCCTGTCCACGCGCACGGTGAACCCCACTGCCACTGGTACGTAGCCTGTTCACGCGCACGGTGAACCCCCTGTATCTGGATGTGTTTTGCACAGTGAACCCCACTGCCACTGGTACCTAGCCTGTTCACGCGCACAGGTCTTAGCTTGCCCGCGGGTTCACAGCAGCCTCCACAGTAGTTATAGGTCCGTACATCTGCGCCCAAGGCCCTCCTCAGTGCAAGCACTGATTCGAACCCGGCAACCTCGGCCTCAAGAGCTGAGTCTCTTAACCACTCCCTGCTCTGGCTGTAATTGCAGTCAGATACATCCAAGAAAGTCCTAGTGTTAGAGTATGCCCTCAGACTTTCGCATGCTCACATTGTCTGAACACCTCTACCTGTGAAGGCTTTCTTCCTCCCAAAGTAGAGACTAAAGGGGTTGAACCACCCATACTCCACTTATCTACCCATGAGAATGGGCCAGCTAACAGGGTGCTGCAGAAAGGCTCTGTGCAAAGGTTCGGCCTGCTGGAGGCAGGTGGTCCCAGGGAGGGGGGGCCCACAAATTTTGAGTACCCCTGATTGGCTATTTTTCCCCCTCGTCTCCTTCAATAACAAAATCTGCAAGAAATCATGGATGTTGAGCTGTATAATGGAAAATATCTACTAATGAAAAAAAAAAGAATTGAAAAAACAATTGCCCGTCACAAGAATTCGGGCATGGCTTTCTCGCCCTGGTCGGTATTGGCAGGGTCTTTGGCCATCATGGCTGTGTGTGTGTGTATTGTTGGGGGGGAGGGGGAAGAGTGTTGGCCATAGACACGCTTACTTCCCCCCCCCCCTCTGAAAACATCTGCTGGAGACCAATCATTGGAGGCAATAAGAGCATTCTCCAATAATAGGCCCCTCCTGATTAGACCGCTCCAATCTATTGGTGGGGAGCTGCACCTGCCGGAAACCGGGTCCAGCGTCCCACTCACACGAAATCCTCGAATTGGAGCCAGTTGTAGAATAGTCGATGATAGGCAGCATTGATTGCCCTCACTCGAGGGGATTAACCACCCACCAATATAGTCAAGAAGACATATCCTTACCAGCCTGTCTCACATGAGTCTACAATTCCTGCGCATCCGCTCGGGGTGTGTTTATAAAAAAATAAATAAATAAAATCCGTTTGTATTTCATACGAGATTCGACCCCGCCCTGCTACGTGAAGGAATCGCTGTCATTAAGCGGAAGAGACTTCAAGAAGCCTGTGTACCCCTGCAGGTCTGTTCGGATATGCGAAAGGCCAACCTACGATGATTATCGTAGGCAAATTGAATCGTCTCAGGTCGGCCCCACTCAAGTCATAACAGTCAAAATGCAACTGTAAAAAACTGATTGTAGTTCAGTAAAATCAGGAGGGGGGAAATTTACCACACTTTCTAATTACCCTCCACTGGAGTCGCTTTACACAATGCATTTGTGGTAGATCAAGAGCGATTAGGACACCATTGCAATTCTAATCACACAAACTCTTCTGAAAACAATTAGACCGTACCTAAACAAGATGATCGAGAAGAAGAATACTCGACGCACCAGCCGCCCCACCCTCCACTGCAATTGATATCCAAGCAAAGTGAGCGTACAAAGGGGGAGGCAGGATTCGTTGGTCCTCCATATAGAAGAGGGGGGTGGGTGGAGTTATGTCCCTTAACCCTGTCGTCTACCCCACTCTTTCTCGCCACGTTTCCCATGCATGCTCCAGCAAAGGCCACGATGCCCCTCAAATGGCTTCCTGCCTGACCTATCCCCCCACCCCCCACTACAGCCAACCACTTTGATAGGGAGGGGAAGGAAGAGTCGCACATTTGTGAAAGTGGACCGCAAACCAGGAGAAGTGTTACATGGCCAGTTGGGCGATGTACATATAAACCAAGGATCCGCAATGTGATGAAAAGGACTGAATGGACAATGCAGTGCAAGTAGAATCTCAACAAGCAGTGTACGTTCTGATACATACAAAATGGTGTTTTATAGCGCAGTGGAAGATTTAGATACAAGTCCTGACCTGATCGGGACTGACCTCTTTCACGTAGTACAAGATAGTGAAGCAGAATGCTAGAATACTAAGGACTAGCCCAATCAATGTTTCAACGCAGACCAAACATACATCATGCTCATCACAAGGTGTGAAGGGGCCTGGYGCTATACACAGGAAGGAGGCGCCAGGTCCAGACATACACAAACGAAGAGGAGGGGATCAGACGAAGAAGAGGAAGGGGGAGAGGGGAAAGTCGTCAACACCAAGTCTCGTTACAAGTCCCAAATAATCCCTCTTCAAAATGTCTGAAGTCCAATGTCAAGTCTGGATCCAAATGTCACCNTCTCTCTCTCTCTCTCTCTCTCTCTCTCTCTCTCTCTCTCTTAGTCTGCTGATGCAGTGAAGTCAGATAGCGAGAGGGTGAGAAGGAAATGGTGGACTGAGAAGAGGAAGAAGAAGAACTCTCTCTCTCTCATGTGCCAGGTACCAACCTGTGAAGATGGCGCTGTGCTGCAGGTACCTCAAAGACGAAGCTGGAGCAATGGCGCTGCAGGTAAGTCCCTCTGGCCTCCGCCCAATCTCTCTCTCTCTAGTACTACTCTAGCTGCTATGGCGCCCAGCGCTGAAGACTACAGCTAACGCCACTAGCGCCCAGCGCTGAAGACTACTGCTAACGCTGCTACTACTCCTGCAGCGCTCCTCCAGAGTCCTGCTGCCGAATCCTGAAGACTACCTCCTGCCTCCTGAATTGCACGTGAAGTGCCTGGGAAGTACCTAGGAACTACCTGCCTGCCTGCAGGGCGGGCCAGTCCTACATAGTGCTGGCCCGTCCAGGAGGCTGCTCTTGCCAATGCCGAAACGTCTTACGTGGAGCCGAAGATACCGGCTTGCCTTGCATTTTGCGTTTGTAGCGTGCGAGAACATCCGGAGCTGTTGCTTGGAGTTCCGCACGGGTCAACCAACGGTCAGCTTTGTGAGTGCAGTACGCAAAATGTACCAAGTACTCGGTTGGCCTGTTGCCGTTGCGTCGCTGGGAGATGATGTCGTCGACCTCCTGAAAACCGTCCATAGAGGGTGGGTCTTGCGAACATCGCCCGGGAAAATCGTCATGTTCCGCTGGCGTGTAAAGAGCTAACTTGGAGCAATGAAAGAGTGGGTAGACGGGCAAGTGGGCGGGCACCTGAAGAGTGAAGGAAGGTGCGTCTTGGTCATCTGGCCGCGTGCCTTGACAAGTAGCTCTTGCATCTGATGCAAGAAAAGAAGATGGTCGTCACTCTCGGTCGTTCGTGGAATGATTGTGTCCAACGGCGGAGTGACCGGCGAGCCGTGCTCGAACTCGAAGGGCGACATCCCGATAGCTGGGTGGATGGACGAGTTGTAGGCCAACTCGACATCCGGCAGTCGCTCAACCCAATCCTTTTGGTCGGGGCAGATGAGAGTGTGAAGGAGAACCTGTGTGGTCTGATGCGCCCTCTCCGTTTGGCCATCGGTTTGGGGGTGGCGAGCCAAACTTGGTTTGAGAGATGAGCCCCATCGTTTGATGAGCGCCAACCAAAAATCGGACATGAACCGAGTGTCGCGGTCGCAGACGATTTCCTTGGGGTAACCCTTGGTTCGAATTCAACCGGTGTAAAGAACCTCGGCCAACTCCGGTCCCTTGGCATGATAGCGACAAGGCAAAAACATGGCGAACTTGGTGAGTCGGTCGACCACCGTGAGAATCCCATCCACGCCGGTCTTGTGCTTGGGGAACGAGCCGGTAATGTGCATGGCAATCGCTTCCCTTCGACGGAAGGGGACCGGTAATGGTCGCAACTCGCCGTATGGACGATGGTTGTACTTGGCGCGGCGGAGCGTCTCCAACACTCGCCGAAGGTGCTCAAGATGATCCTCCAACGACCGGCTATAGACGAGAATATCGTCTAAGTAGACCAACACGAACCAGTCATTCCACGGAACTCGTTGGTCATTGTCGCTTGAAAGGTCGTCAGGGCGTTGGTGAGGCCAAAAGGCATGACCACCCACTCAAAATGCCCATACCGCGTCTTGAACGCGGATTTGTAACGATTGTTTGTTTGGGTCGAGATTTGATGATATCCCGACTTCAAATCCAACTTAGAAAAATACTTTGCGCCGCCCAATCGCTCAAGAAGATCGTTGATGCGAGGAAGAGGCCCCGCATTCTTGACGGTTTGTGCGTTGAGCTTGCGGTAGTCGATGCACAATCGTAGATCTTTGTTCTTCTTCCGTACGAAGAGAACAGGCGCTCCGTATGGAGAGCTACTAGGGACGAACATCATCGAGTTGCGCGCAAAGGACCGTAAGCTCCTCCTCGCTCATGCGATAAACGCAACCTTTCGGCGGTACAGCACCGGCCTCAAGAACGATCTCGTGAGAGATCCGCCGATCCGGCACCATACCGGTAGGTGACTCGAAGATGTCGGCGAACTCGTCAAGCAACCACACCACACGGGGGTCCGAAGACAAGTCCGTGGGTGAAGAGTCGGCTACCGCAATGGTCCGTAGAAAACATAGGCCGATTTCGTCGAGCTGCTCGTAAGCACAAGTAGCCCGGAATGACTTGGCCATCACCACTTGGCACCAAATCGAAGGGTGCGGAAGAGGAATAGTACACGACACTTCGGCACCGAAGGCGTCGCGAACGGTAAGAGTCCGCCGGTGGAAGTTGACCGTATGATCCGCACTTGCAAGCCAAGGCATTCCCAAAATAATGTCGAAGTCCGTGTCCAAAATGTCAAATGTCACCACTTCGCATGCATGAGGTGCGAAATACACCGGTACGGCCTCGATGTAGCGGTCGATAAGTTGTTGCGTCCTTCCGTCCGCCAACTTGATCGTCGTCGGTTTTGCCTTCCTTCGAACTGGTGCGCAAAGGCCAGCCTTTTGCATAAAAGCTTGGCTCATTAAATTGCAAGACGCGCCGCTATCCAGCAAAGCACTGCAAGACGCTTGCCCAACTTGGATGCGGACATACAGGAGCGGTGCGTTGTTGTCGTCGTACCGCTGATTGCGAAACTCGCGGGCCACCTTGGTAACAAACGCAAGGATGTCCCCCACCGTGACTTCGTCATCCGTCGACGAAGTTGGTAGTGCATAGAAGGATAAGTATGTGTGAAGATGAGCGCATAGTGTTGTGCATTGCGGTCCCGACAAGCAGCCCGTGGTCGGGAAAGGAGGCCATGCGAAATCCTCAGACGTGAGGGGGTCCAATACCTCCATGTTGAACTCGCGCGCCGAATCCCGTGAAGAACCACTTGAAGACGATAAGTCGTCGCTGCCGGACGGAGAAGATGCGGCACACACGTCTTGTCCTTGAGCATGAGTACCCAGCGTAGGAACATGTCGGGCAACATAATCCTCAAAAGAATAAAGAAGAGGAGGACTATCGACTTCCGCATGTGCCTCGGAACGAAGGGCGGTCACCCGCGAAGTGACCGGTTTCGAAGGCGTCGAGAGTGTCGTCGAGTCACTCCTGGCGGTGCTCAGTTTCCCGATTTGCCCTTGCCTTTCGACTAGCAAGCCATTGTGTCGTGGAGATCGTTGTTACACCACAGACAATAGCGGGATCTCGTGCATGCCTTGAATGCTTGCTCGGAGAGACCGTAATAGGACCATGGGGCTGGAGCTGCTGCGCCGGGCCCGGGGCTAGATGCGGTGTTTGTCTTCGCCTTGCCGCGTCCTCTGCCTTTGTCGGAGCGGCCACCTTCCCGAGCGGTTGCGAGTCTGTCCCTTTCATTGGCAGACACAGCCTCGCTAGTTTGGTCGTTTGGCCTTGTCGCTGCGACCACGGCCAGTTTCCGCCGATGCCGATCTCTGCTCAGGCCTGGCGCAGACGAACGCTGGAGATTCTTGGCCTGCTTGTTCGTGACAATAATCTGCGCGGCCTTGTCGAAGAGTTCTGCCGGTGTCATCAGGGTGTCCTCGAAGTGAGTCAAGGCATTGCCCAACGTCGGACACGACCTCGAGATGAAGTAGTGTTTGATGGCTTTGAAGCCCATTTGAATGTCTGGGACGGATGTCAAGCGTTGGTACTCGGCAATCCAATCAACACTCGGTAGCGTGCCTTGTTCGAAGACCATCAGCTTATCCATTGCCTTGATCTTCGGCGGCTCTACTTGGAACCGCTTATGCCACGCCGCCTTTAGATCATCCCAGCTGATCTTGGTATGCAAGTTGGCAGCTGCCACTCCGTACTTGGACAAGAGATTGTCCAACCATGCTTGGCACGCTCCCCCCGAGCGGGAGTATAAGTACCCGTGGTGCTTGTGTTCTTTGACGTAGTGTAGCTGCAACGTGAGCTCGAACTTGCGGAACCATGAAATCGGGTCCGTCTTCGTCGAGTCGCAGAAGATCTCCTGCCCATCGAAATTTGGAGTTGTCTCGCGCGGTTCCGAGCTCGAGTGGTTGGCGGCAGTACAGATCCGCTGCTCCAACTATTGCAGTGTGGTTTGCTATAACTGCACGCCGTCCTTGAGGGATCTGACGTCAATCTTCAATGCCTCGAGGCGATCGAAGGAGTTGGAAGAGCTGGCATCAGGGGCGGCGACGGGCCGCTGCTCCAGCTGTCGGAGGCGGCTGTGGACTTGAATCAGCGCGTCGTCGAGGCTGTGGATCTTGTTTTCACTCCTCCTGCTGTGTAATGCATGTTGCCAGGAGGTTGGTAAAATGGGAGAGGAGTAGAGCAATCTTGTTTTCACTCTTCCATCTTGCCATTCTTGGCCTCGGCCCGCCAATCCGCTGCCATTGTGAGCAAAGTTTGCTCTCCGCTGAATATCTTCTCCCGACGTTGAACTTGTTCTTCATCGACAGCCTTTGTTGCTGCCTCGTCGTGTTGGCGCTGTTGTTCAATTGCCAGCAGACGTGCCTTCTCGGCGTCCTCTGCCTTCTTCTTTGCTGGGTCTGCTACTGCATCCGACCGTTGCTTAGCTTCGGTAATCAGAAGCAGCATCCGGGCCTGATAGGCCTCGTCCGTTTCCCCGGATTTCTGGTCCATGACGGCTGTTTGCGAGCGTGAAAGCATAGACCAGGTCGGGGGCCTGCTGACGTGGTACTCCCTGCTGCTGATGTGGCACTGCTGACGTATTCTGTTGACGTGGTCCGCTGACGTGGCCTGCTGATGTGGTCTGCTGACGTGGCCTCTAACAAGGTCTGCTGATGTGGCAACTCACCAATGCCGCCGCAGGGGGTACCCGGAGACAGATAGAGAAGGTAAGACGAGAGGGGGCAACAACATAGGTGGGGAGGGGTGGGTGGGGATAAATCGCCTAGATAAGGAGCCACCAATCAAAAAAAGAAAAGTTTGAACTTTGCAAAAAAAATTTGAGAAAAATAAAAATCCTGAGTTTTGCAAGTTCAGTAGGTCTCCCAACCTCCCTTGAAGTGCGAAATTATCAATGAGAAAAGTTCAGAATGCCAATGATTATAAGGTAGTGAAAATCATAGAACTGCTAATAAAAAAAAATTCCGAAAAGAAATAACAAGTATTCGGACTTACTCAGATGAGAGTATTCGCAGTTGGAAAATGGTACTGCACGAGGGATTTCCCGTACCGCTTAAAAAAAAAACGGGTTTCGAAAAATATTCCGAACTTCCAAATACGGGACATTGCAAAAGGAAATCGAAATTTTCGAAAAAAAGATATTCCGGATTTTCTAACAACGAAATTTCAAATTTTCAGAAGAAAAACGAAAACGGAAATTTCAGATGTTGCGCTATTGCGATTTTCCACAACAGAAATAGCGAGAAAACAAAATCCACGAAAAGAAAAAAAAAATGATTTTCGGCAGTGAGGTCAAAATCGTGATTTTGGGGGCTAACTAGTGTGCTTTAATCAATCAATCAAGACTAATCAGCTACCTAGTCCCCGCACACGTGTCAGATCAGGTTGTCCTGATTCACGTGCGGTGTTCCGATACCAACTGTTACATGCCCAGTTGGGCGATGTACATATAAACCAAGGATCCGCAATGTGATGAAAAGGACTGAATGGACAATGCAG